CTGTTTCCTCCTAATTTTCATGTTTCTAAAAGAATTTTCAGCCTTGTCGCTGCACTCATGAGATAATCCGTCTTTGCTGGTTTTCTTTCTACCACTTTCCTAAAGCTGTTTGCTCTAAGGGAACCAGCGGATCCTTAGGGCTTTTCTGCATCCACAACCAGTTTTACCCCTTTATGGTAGGTAAAACAGTGAGCTGTCTCCCTGCCTAAAATTAGCTCCTCCTTTGACTTCTGTGAAATGACACTCTTGTCCCTCTTCTCTACTCACCCTTTTCACTCTCTTGCTTTACCAGCTGTGTGTCCTCTTCCCATTCACTAAATGGGAGTCTTTCCCTAGGGTTTCTCCTTTTGTGCTTTACATCAAATGTTAATGTGTTACTGCTATGGCTTTAAATCAGTCCATTGCACAGATGGTTCCTAGCTTTGTTCATAAACGGAATGACTTCTTGGCATCAGTTTCAAATCTCCATCATCTCCATCGTCTCCAGACTATTACAGCTTTCAAGCCATGTCCAACTCTTTGTGATCCTATGAACGGTGGCCAACCAGGCTCCTCTGCCCATGGGATTCTCCAGGCAAGAGTATTAGAGTAGGTTGCCATGACCTCCTCCAGGGTATCTTCCCTACCCAGGGATCGAACCAGCATCTCCTTTGTTTCCTGCATTGCAAGCAGATTCTTTATCCACTGTGCCACCTGGGAAGCCCACACACAGCTACATGAGAGATGAATAAGAAATGATGAGGCTGATGTCAGAGGAAAACCCCTCAGTAGATCCCAATGCTCCCAGGAGACCCTATGAGCCTAGGGAAAACCTGTAAAAGCAGGCAGTGGGGGCCACTCAGAGTTTAATGTAGATGTGACCAAGTTTGTAAACCTAGGCTGGCAGTCACATAAATAGAAATTCAGACAAGTTATAAACTGGGAAATAAAGGGTGAGGAGAAGCTGGAGACCCAGAGTATCAAACTCAAAATGTCTGATCAGAAAGGAAACAGAGCAACTCGGGTAAGACCAGGGCAGAGAGCTTCCCTCTGGGAAAGACTGTTGGAAACATCTTTTGACAAACACCAGGGTCCCTATTTTGTCTCTTTTATTGGGACTTTGACAAACATTGTTTATTGTAGATAAAATGCATTCTTAAATCACAAAAACACCTCCAACAAGACTTTAATTTTGCTTGTTAATCATTTTCCCTCTTTCATCCTTGTTATATCTCTATGTATCTTTGTATTTTTCACACTTCTTTAAAAGAAGTGTCAGTTTAAAACTGACACCATCACTTTCATTCTTATTAATTATGACTTCTCAAAAACCTTTCTTACTATTTGACCTTCTTACTACTTTTTCCTTCCTGTAGTCCTATTTTTGGAAGGAGTGTCTATGAGCAGACTTTTAATCCATTCACTTTATTCACATTCTTAAAAGCAAAATAAAATTCAGCACACATATCATTTAAGTCAGAATCCTTGACCTTGCACTGGGTCATTGACATCTGCAAAGAAGTGAAGATATATCCTGATGCTTTCACAATTACTAGGATTCAACCTTTGCTCCCCATCAGAGCTGACATAAATATCCATCTCCCAGAATTCTACCAGTTTTTGTTTTCCCTTTTATTCACAGCAAAAAAAAAAAAGGTCTGGCTGCCAATAGATGTTGTGATCCACAAAGTATTTGCACATCATAATTGATTTTTTCTAAACAAGAGGTGTGGCTGGGATGATTCAAAGAATCCATTACCCTGTCCCCTCAGATGTCCCCACCAAGACCTTAACAGATTCAACTCTACCCTTGAAGCCTAGTTCACTGGAGGAGACAGGTCAATTCAGTGCATGAAGCATATTTCCCCACTTTTATTTCACTAAAGTGTTCAGCTCCCCCTTGATGCATAGTTTTTTAAAAAAATCACCAGGCTCTTGAACTTCTACCCCTGGGAACAGCTAAAAGCAAAGCCTAAACTATGTCCTTTGGCAGGGAGTCACTCTTATTCCCATGGAAAAAAATAAAATAAGAAATCTGTATTATTGCTCATCTGAGGGCCACGTGGGTCTCCAAGGAGACTTGTAGCAAATATGTGCTTCCTGTGATCCAGGGATAACCACTACTCAACTGGCAAGTTAGACAAGAGGGGGAAGTGAAATTCTCATGGGCGTCCTGTCCCCAAAACAAACTGGCTCTGGACCCCTTGTGTGTGTGACTCCACAAGCTGGGGCACACCTCACCTCCGTGGTGCCAGCCACTCCCACCAGGCCAAGGGCCAGGGGTCAATAAATTTCCAGCTGCAGAGCCAGGGATGGAGGGGTGGGCAGGATGGGTCTGGAAGGAGCTGCTCCAGTGAATGAAGTGAGAAGATTGGCCAAAGTGGGGGAAAGCAGCAAGCCAAGGCTTGGTTGGGGTCAATTCCTGTGGGTCTGTAAATCTCCTTCCTGGATCATTAGTGCTGACAGGAGTCTCTGGAGGTCATTCAGTACATCCTTCTGCTTCCCCTGGGTCACTTCAACTCATGGTTTCCTTCCAGGTCTGATAGATTTTTTTTTTTTTTTTCAAGAAAGAACATGCCTTTCACCTTCTTTTTTTTAAAAAAAAAAAAAAAACCTCCTACATTCTCCATTTACTTCTTATCAGCCAGTCAGGTCAATTAAGTATACCTTATGCTTTTTTAAGGTATAAAATCATTGTTTGGTGACTGTATAGTCCCAGTACTGTGTTAAATACCCATCTAGCTGTCTTATGAATGTTCAGAAGAACCAGAATATATTAAGCTGTACAGTCTGCCACCACTCTTGGGAAAGAAACCTGTGTTCATGTATTTATTCAACAAATATTGACTAAGGTCTTGCTATATACCAGACACTTCCTAGGCACTGTCTTTAACAGTTGGAAATAAGAAAAAGATAAAAATCCTCACTTCATGGAATTTGCATGTCCTGGTGATGAAGTGAAAATATCATCTCTAAAAATAAGGGCAAAGACACTCACTGTCTCAGCTATCATAGTCTCTCAGTTGTGTCTGACTCTTTGTGACCCCATAGACTGTAGCCTGCCAGGCTCCTCTGTCGGCCTTCTCCAGCCAAGAATACTGGAGTGAATAGCCATTCCCTTCTCTAGGAGATCTTCCTAATTCAGGTATCGAACCCAGGTCTCCTGCACTGCAGGCAGATTCTTTACCATCTGAGTTACCAGGAAGCTCAGTACTTTTTATGAATAATTCGTTTCATTCTCATAACAATCTATTTGGTAGGTAACATCATTATTTCACCTTTATAAATAAGAAAACTGAGATTTTAAGAGGTTATGGCTATACAAAGATGAAAAGAGGTCTGTCTGACTCACCACTAGACTGAATTTTGACCTTGAGAAAAAAATCATTGACCTAGAGAGTCCCCTGGTTTTGACCCTGAGTTCTCTTGAAAGTGTTCCCAGAGAAATCCTTCTTAAATATAATAGCTTATTCAGTTCAGTATTTACTGAACCTTCCTATGTGTTAAGAGTTACACAAGAAGTTGATAAGATGCTAACATATGGTCCCAAGCTTCACAAAACTTTTGAGACAGGGTAGAGAGAGATGTAGGCAATATGATGGGGTAAATGCTACAAGAGAGTTGTAAACAGAAGCCTAAAGAAGCACCAAATAGGAGCAGCTTGGAGAAGGAAACGGCAACCCACTCCAATATTCTTGCCTGAAAATCCCGTGGACTGAGGATCCTGGTAGGCTACAGTCCGTGGGGTCGCAAAGAGTCAGACATGACTGAGCGACTTCACTTCACTTCACTTCTAAGCCCTTGCTGTGGTAGTCAGAAAGAGTTCCTCAAAAATGAGAGCATTGAGGACAACATGTGTGTGTGCGGGGGTGGGGGTGGAAGAGAAACAGCATAGCTGCAAAGTGGGAGAAATGGGGAACATGTCAGGAGGAGCAGACAGTCCTGGGATAACATGGTGTATTTGGGGAACTTCATTCTTGGTCTTACTCTTCTCATTGTTTTTATTCAAGCCTCTCACTGTGGAGGTGGCATTGCTTTCATCTCTAAAATAACATGGTGAGAGGGGGAATGGTAACATGATATCAGGTCTTAGAAACACCTTTACCTCCATTCCAGCCAGAGAATGATTAGATTTTCTTTGGGAAAAAAAAAAAAAAATTAGGTCAGTCATTACGTTACCAAGTGGTGACTCCCAAGACTAGAGTTAGAGTGAGGCTCCACTGCCTTTCAAAACCAAATCGTTGTCTTCCGTGGAATTTTTACATGTGAGCTGACCATCCTTCAGACTAATTTATGTGGATAGAAACAGCTTCTGCATGCTGGCAGAGAGTAATGAAAAGAGGTGTCTATTTTTTAAGTGACTTTTTTCAGCACCAGATGCTGGTGTTTCTGCTCACATCTATGGAGTCATGGGCTAAGATCCACATGTACACCCTGCCGCATGATATATGTTTTCAATCAGTGCTACAAGGTTGTTATTTTTTTCAATGTCAAAACTTAACCCACACATGGTCTCAGGAGGCACAGAGATGCCGAAGCCACAATGCTGGGTTGTAGGACCTAATATCCATGTAATGATGGGATTGGCTACAGGGCACATTTGGAAATAATCTTCAGCCTTTGGGATTGAGACGGAGGGCAGGAAATAATAAAACTGTGTGAAGATACACTGCCTCCTCCTTCTACTCCCAACACTCTGTACTTTGGGTAGAGGAGAGGAACATTCCACTGGACTCAAGGAAATGTTGAGAATGACAAAATATAAAGTGTAGAGGTAAGCAGAGCCAGCGAGCACCTGGGAGAATGAAGGAAAGTCAAGCAAAGGGCATTTGGCAAAAGAGGAACAAGGGAAGACAGGCTGAAACTGAAATGTAGATGTTGGAGATCTCCAAACATCCTATCAAACAAACAGACAAAGGGAAATTCTTTTCTAAGTAGCATGCACATCACCCAGGGAACTCGATGACACATGATTTTTATTGAGCCAAGGAACTCTGTACTTTGGTCAAAGGGCTGGACACTGGGATGAATATGAATAACATCTGTAGCTCAGCTAGCTGGGGTGAAAGCGATGAGCCTGACCCCATCTTCTGGCACTGGCTACAGAAATGGACTCCTGGTTGGGCTTCTCCAAGACAGTGAGGAGCCCAGTGGGTCAGTGGCCATTTTATGAAATATTTGTTCATCTTGTTCTGAAACATCACAACAAACTATAAGTAGAAAAGAAAGTGATCAACAGCCTCTTTCAATCTCTACTGTGTCCACCTTAGACCCTTGAGATCTCCCTACTATATCTGTTAATGGAGCCAAGGATACAAATACTGAAATGTATTGATTTTCAGCAGTTACCAAATACCTCTGGTCATACTTTCAGAAAGAATATCTTAGACAGTTATTAGATTAGAAAACACAAATGTAATAGACATACGCACTTTCAGGACTTTACATATGCAGATCTCCAATTAGCCTATCAGCCGCTAATTGTTGGGATGAGAGGTCCATTGTGATCCAGTAGCACAAGTGGTATAGAAGAAAGGGAAGGGAATCATAAGGAAGAGCAAAAGAGTAACTGAGCGTACATAAAAAGAAATCCTTCTATGCAGTGTCACTAAGTCACTCCGGTGAGGATCAATCTAATAACCCGTCTAGTGTTACAATAGCAAAGGTCAATGTCATAAATTTACTGGTTGGTGTCTGATAATAATCAATTGCTTCACAGAGAATGTCCATGTTGCTTTGTTTATCCCCAGCCCATCCATTCCATAGATGGTTAATGTTCTTGTAAAGGAATAAAAGCCCATCAAAAAGTTGTTGCTAACTCTGGTAAATCAGCAAATCATGCTTTTATTTTCTCTTTTATTCCTAAAGTCATTCTGAGACTTTTGAAACAAAACAGAAGATGGTTTTGATGTACTAAGAACCCTTATTAAAAGCAGAGATCATCATAATAATTAAGCAGTTAATTAGAGAATTAAATAAGCAAATCTTGATGCATTATTTATGAATCTTCTGTTGGCAATGAGACATTTTCTGGTAATTGGAATTAGGTCATAATATCTATAATGAATCAATCTGTCATATAGATGGTAAAAAAATCACTTCCAAATTCCACTTGGGTGAAGCTTTGTAGCAGATTTCAGGAATTTGTAATTTCTAATTCTATTTGGGTAGAACATTTTAGATTTCAATAAATTATAATTCTAACATTGCAAATTTTAATATAATATTTAATTTTAAGAGCTATTTCTGTTTCATTTTATAGAGGAATCATGACTGAGGAAAGATCTTCAAGTCCATAGACAACTGGATGTGAATCTCTATCATTCCTAGCTGATTTGAATTAATTCCCCTTCTTAATGCCTCTGAGCCCTAGTCTCTTCACCTTCAAGTTAAGCATTACAGTACCCAATGGTTGCTTTGAATAGATAAGATGAAATATGAAAAACATTTCAAACACAGTGTGGGTGCTCAGTAAACTTTACTACTTGTTAATACTCTCTATTCTTTCAGGTGTTAAAATGTTCAGAAACATTTTAACAGGTGTTTGTATCTCCCCAGCCTAACCCCTGCTGAACAGTAACACTAGAGACAAAGTTTCCTAACTGTACCAACATGTTCATTGTCATCACCACTAGCCCAGATTAGTCTCTATTCATCCTACATCTGACTTACCACTCCCTTGATGGTTTTCCTTATCCTACTTTTTCCACCATATAATGCATCTGTCTTTCTCAATATTGATCACTCTCAAATACAACGCTTTTAATGCTTCTGTTTTTCTCAAAACATTCAACTGTTCTTTATTTCAATAAGTGTTAACTTCAGATCTCAACCATGGTGGAGTAATTGACACCAATTAGCCTGCCTGCCCTAAGCAACTAGAAAACTTGACCATATATATGAAACAATAGTTTTAATACATTGAAAAGCTGTCAACACAAGAATATATTGTCTAAGAGAAGTGAAACAAAGGCTATGAGTCTTTCTATTACTCCAGACTTTTGCCTGGAGGCATTTACTAGATCACTGTAGTCTCCCTGAGGGACAGAGACAGAGATTAAATTCAGAGAAGCTGAAGCCACTGGAATTTATGGTGCAGTGTACCAATCAGTACAGTGATGCACTTGCTCTGCATATTTAACTTAAATGTATATGGCATAAAGCAAAGAGGAATTAAAGAGTATCTTGATGGAAGGTGAAAGAGGAGAGTGAAAAAGCTGACTTAAAACTCAACATTCAAAAAACAAAGATCAAGGCATCCCATCTCATCACTTCATGGCAAACAGATGGCGAAACAATGGAAACAGTGAGACTTTATTTTCTTGGGCTCCAAAATCACTGTGGACAGTGTTTGCAGCCATGAAATTAAAAGAGCTTGCTCCTTGGAAGAAAAGCAATGAAAAACCTAGGCAGTATATTAAAAAGCAGAGACATTACTTTGTCTACAAAGGCCTCTATAGTCAAGCTATGGTTTTTACAGTAGTCATGTATGGATGTGATGTGAGAGTTGAACAATAAAAAAGGTTGAGCACTGAAGAATTGATGCCTTCAAACTGTTGTGCTTGAGAAGACTCTTGAGAGTCCCTTGGACTGCAAGGAGATCAAACCAGTCAATTCTAAAGGAAATTGGTTCTGAATATTCATTGGAAGGACTGATGCTGAAGCTGAAACTCCAATACTTTGGCCACCTGATGGGAAGAGCTGACTCATTGGAAAAGACCCTGATGCTGGTAAAGATTGAAGGCAGGATGAGAAAGAGATGACAGAGAATGAGATGGTTGGATATCCTCACCAACTCAATGGAGATGAGTTTGAGCAAACTCTGGGAGATGGTGAAGGACAGAGAAGACTGGTGAGCTGCAATCCATGGGGTCACAAAGAGTTGGACAAGACTGAATGATTGAACAATAAAATCAGTCAGGAAGTAGCAACTCAGCTAGAACCCCAGAAATCTGCATAGGGTTCCTTAAGTGTTTGTTTGAATACCAACTTTGAATGTCATGCACAAGGTGGGAATTCATAAATCTTTGGAAAGAACAACTGCTAAAGAAAGGTAAACTGTTGGAAAGTCAAAAAAGCTCTAAAAGTAACACAACATTGGGAAACATTTGTATTCTAACTGAAGTAGAGATACTTTGCTGAACAGTGAAGGCACTTGGCAGGAACCTCAGAAAGATACCGTCTCAAAGTGAGCTAAAATAGCTCCAGAGTAAATGCTGTACTGGACAAACCCAGACCAACCTTAAAAATAAACATCCAAAGGATAAACTGGCCTCCCCCATGTGACTTAATTGCCTGCCAAAATAAAATTCAACATTCTTTAAAGGAAGAAAGCAAATTCCAGACTCTCAACAACACAAAAATCACTTTATCTAGCATCTAATTAAATATTACTAGGCATATGAAGAAACAGGAAAATATGGCCCATAAATAGAAAAAACATCACCCAAGAGTAGACCAAGATATGACAGAGAAAATTATTGTATTAGCACACAAAAAACTTAAAAAAAAAAGAATAAAAAATTGGTAAAGGGTAAAAAGAAAAAAAGAAAAAAAAAAAAAAAAAAAAGCAAAGAAAAAAGAACCCAAGAAGTAAAAAAAAACTTAACTGAAAAAAAAAAGGTCAAAATAAGAGCAAAAAAACAAAATAAGCAATGAAAAAAAAAAAAACAAGGAAATTGGAAAAAAAACAAGAAAAAAAACCCAAAAACAAAAGAAAAAAAAAAAAAAAAAGATTGAAAATAAATTAATTGAGCCACATATGGCCAATGAACTATGCACCTGAGCCACAGGTATAGGCACTAGATATCACAACCTACAGTAACTGCTAAAAACAAAACAATACAATACAAAAAATATACAATACATGTCAATGTATGACAAAAACCACTACAATATCCAACTAATAAAAATAAATGAAAAAAAAAGAAAAAAAATATACAATACAAACAAAACAATAAAATCCAATACAAAAACAAAATAATACAAAGATCTATTAGTAAGCTAATTAAGGGCATAAAAGGGGATACCAAAAATAATCAAGTAGTCCCAAAGAAGAAGAAAAAAGAATAAAATGGGAACAGCAAACAGATGGAATAAGTAGAAAACAAATCAACAAATCATGTTGACAATTATTTAAATGTAAATGGATTAAACACTCCATTAAAAGGCAGAGATTATCAGACTGTTAAAAAAAAATCAAGACCCTAATGAATTGCCTGCATTACTCTAGAAAAAGTAGGCATCAGAGCAAGGAGTAGTAGTACTAGAGACATAGAAGAACATTAAAAAATAATAAAAGGGTCAATCAAGAAGATGTATAGAACACTATACACAAAACTGGAGAATGTAGCTTCTTACAAGAACACACGGGACATTCACCAAGACAGACCATATGGTGGGCCATAAAATATGTCTCAATAAATTTAAAAGGATTGAAACCAGAGAATGCTTTTTGACCACAATGGCATTAAATTAGAAATTAAAAACAGAAAGATTTCTGGAAAACTCCTAGATATTTGGAAGTTAAACTGCATACTTCTAAATAATCGTAAGGCAAAGAAGAAATCAGAAAGAAAATTAGAAAATATGTTGAACTAAATATAAATGAAAATTCAAATATATCAAGATTTATGGAAAGATGCTAGCTTTTAGAGCAATGATTCTTAAACTTTTTCATCTCAAAGCCCTTTACTCTTTTAAAAATTATTGACAACTGTAAGGGTTTTATTTATGCACGTATCTATCAAAGATTACTTTCTAAGAAATTAAAGCTGAAGATTTAAAAAATATTTAGTGACAATAAAATAGAATAATAAACCCATTGCCTATTAACATGACTAAGCTGTTTTTATCAGGTTAACTATATCTTCCAAAAAATTAGAAAAAATGACGTTTTAGTTTTCACAAATCTCTTTAATGTCTTGCTCATGAGAACACAGCACAATTCTTAAATCTACTTCTGCAGTCAAGCTTTTACCAGATTGTTTAACTGAACTATATAAGGAAGTCTAGCCTCACAAAGACTTGTAGTTAGAAAATGGGGGAGTATTTTAATGACCTTTATAGGTTATTGTGGATATTTTTATTTGACAGTATGCCAGAACTTGATAAGAAGTGGTTTTTTTAAAGATGAGTTGAAATACAAAATCTGAAGCCACATCAATGATTTTTTTTTGTACTGTAATTACATTAAACTCTATGAACCTGTTTTGCACGTTGAATGAATCTTTTATCCATACACAGTTTTGTTCAGTTATGCATTGGTTACTTGGAAAATATTGGTTCATTGAATTTTAAGCAGTTCTTCAGAATATTGATTCATTATATGCTCTCAAAACTTTCATTTGTTAATATAACTACCGATGTCATAAGAAAGAAATTTTTAAGCCCACTTGGTAGAGTTTTCCAAAATTCTAATTTTCACTTGAAAGTTCAAATAGTATCACTAGCAACAAAAATATCAGTTGATTTCTTGAAGTTATATGTCTTCTTCATTAATATTTGACACAATGACTTACAATCATGCGAATTTTTATTAGTCATTTTTCCCAAGCAAAACTGATGTTCTCTGGAAACAAACATATGAACCCAAACCCAGCTTGTTCAGCTTGCAACTGAAACAATCACACAAGTGCTTAGCCCTGAGATAATCACTGTATTTTAATACACAGCAACAGTGTTTTATACATTTTCCATTTCCCAACAAAGAGTTTTAGAAAGACAAAAACTCAACAATAAGAAAACAAGCAACCCAATTTTAAAAAGGACAAAAGAACTGACATCTCACTAAAGAAGATATATAAATGGCAAATCAGTCTATTAAAATGTTCACTATCTATGATGTCATTATAGAAATGCAAATTAAAATATTATAGGATACAACTACCCACTATTAGAAAGGCTGATTGCCAATTGTTGACAAAGATATGGAGTAACAGAAACCACATGTATAATTCATTACTGATGGGAGTGAAAAATGTTATAGCCACTTTGGAAAACAGTTTTATGTTTCCTTACAAAACTGAACATAGTTTTACCATACAATCCAGCAATCACACTCCTAGTTACTTCCCCAACTGACTTGAAAACTTATGCCTACATGAAAACCTGCATGCAAATGTTTAGAACAACTTTATTTATAACCACCAAAAACTGGATGCAATCAGGATGTCCTTTAATAAGTGAATGAATAAACAAACTTTGGTACCTCCATACAATGGAATACTATTCATTGCTAAAAGAAATGTGCTATTAGGCCAAGGAAAGAAGTGGATAAATCTTAAATGCACAGTGCCAAGTGTGCTAAGTCATTGTGTAAAGGCTACAGACTGCGCATTCCTCTTTATTTGGAATTCTGGTAGAGACAGACTACAGACATAGTGAGCAGATCAGTAGTTGCCAGGGGTCTGGAGAGAAGGGTTAAACATGTGAAGCAGGGGCATTTCTAAGGTGGTGGAACTATTCTGGACCACATTATAATGGTGGATACATGACACTATGCTTTTGTCAAAATTCATGGAAATTTATAGCACCAAGAGTGACTTCAATGTATGAAAATTAAAAAAAAAATCATTTAGGAGATTGGGGAATCCCAGGATGAAATGCAGAATATGACAATATTATTTAACTGTATTGCAAATACATGAAACAGCCTCACTGGAGAGGGTAGAGGACAAAGGTTGTGATGAGTCAGAAGAAGTATATGCAAGCACTGTGCATAGTTTCCCATGGGAATACAGGTTAATATTTAGGAAACTACTATACACATATACTCTTTGGGGAAGCAATAATAATTATTAGTGTATTACATATAATATATGGTATATAAGCTATTATACATACAGTTTATATATTATATATCATTATATATAATTATATTGTGTATAATAATATTGAATATATAGTATAATATGTAATATATATAACTATAATTACCATATGCCATAAGGTAATAATAGTAATAGCAGAGTATAATATATCTGAGAACTCTCTGTTCTATTTTTGTCATTTTTTCCAGTAAACCTAAAAGTATTCAAAAATTAAAAGTTTACATAAAACAGACAAGCACTCGAAGACTGGAATTTAATAAAGTTAATAATAGTTACCACTTCATCAATGGCATCTTTAAGTAAAACTGGCATATTTTTACAGTGAATGCATAGCTGTAAAGACTATATAACATCAACTCTTATAGCTTATACTCTAAATCACACTAAGGTGCCCATACTTTTATATACCATTGCTTTCATATCATCAGGGTAAATGTCAATATAGTAAGAGTCAGTTTTTCAATATGGTCATGAAAATTGTTTAAGGTTTTTTCAGGTCCCCATAAGGGATATAGTTACTCCAGGGGTCTGTGAATCACATCTGAGAATTATTAATTAGAGGGAAATGTATAACTTTAAGTAATTATATTTAAAAATAAAAAGGTCAAAATTAATTACTCAAATCTCCACCTTCAGAAACTAGGAAAATACTAAATTAAATATAAAATAAGCAAAAGTATCTATAAAAGAGATCAGTGAACTAGAAAGCACAAAATAGTAGAGAAAGTCAATTAAACAATTAAAATCAATAAAGTTGGTTAACTTTAGCTAGACCAATTAAGAAAAACAGAGAAAAACAACTTACTAATAATATTGATGAAAGACAGAATAAAACTACAGAAATTGTAAGCATTTAAAGCTTGAAAAGAAAAACATAATGAAAAATTTTAATGCCAAGAGATTAAGCAGTTTAGATGGAATGGACACATTCCTTACCAAAGTGACCCAAGGAGGGATAGAAAATTTTAAAAACCCTTTACCTAATAAAAATTAATCCTTATTAATAATATTTCCACAAAGAAAGCTTCAGGCCCTGGTGTTCACTGGCAGGTCTATCAGAAATTTAAGAAATAAATAATGCCAATCCTATATAAATTTTTTCAGAATGAAGGTGGCATAACCAGACACAATGAAAGAGTGGAAAATGACATCACAGGAAAGCTAGAGATCAATAGCCCTCATGAATACAGTTCATTCAAAACTCCATGCTGCAACTAAAGATATTATATGTCACAATGAAGACTGAAGACCCTGTCTGTGGCAGCTATGACATGGTGCAGCCAAATAAATTTTAAAAAGCAAAAAAANAAAAAAACTAAACAGGTGAGGAGTAAGAGAAGTGACACCATTTCTTAAAAGAAATCCACAGGATTACGAATATTAACAAGCAGGATATAACAACATATAAAAATTACAATGCATCACGACCAATCAGGTTCAAAATTACATGACCCCAAAATTCAAAGTAGGTTTAACATTTGAAAATTAATCCATGCAATTCACCTTATAAACATAATTAAGAAAACCCACAGGATCATCTCAGAAGATACAGGAAAAAAAAAAAGTATGAGACAAAATACAAATTCCTGTTAAAAACCTTTCAGCAAATTAGAAATAGAATTTAAAAAATAACTATAGCTACCCTCATATTTAAAAGTAGAAAACTGAATGTTTCCACCTAAGATGAAGAGCAAGTCATGGATATCTGCTCTTACCACCTTCTGCTCAGCATTGTAAGTCCTAGACAATGTACTAGTGCAAGAAAAGAAGTAAAAATAATCCATATTGAAAAAGAATAAGTGAAACTGTATCTGCAAGAGGCATGCATATGCACATACAAAATCCCAAGCACTCCCCCCAAAAGCTAATATAACTAACGAGTCAATTTACCCAGATCACAGATGGGAGATGAATATACAAAAATCCATGGTGATTCATAAAACAGCAGCAACCAATTAGAAAAAAAATTGCTGAGTGAAAAAATCCAGACACAATAGATTATATACTGTATAATTTCATTCAAAAGAAGTTACAGTCCTGGCAAAATTAATCTATAGGGACGAGAAATAAGGTTCATTGTCAAAGTTCATGAGACTGAAAGAAAGTCTATATATCTTGAATGATGACTGCATGGCTCCATATATTTGTCAAAACTCATTGAACCGTTCAGTCAAAATGGGAACATCTGAATGTATGTGGAATGTATTTCAATGCAGTTGTAAAGAGAATAATAGATAAGAACTGTATCTTGGCCAAGATTCTCTTCTTGCCTTCTTCTACCCCATCTCACCTAGATGATCTTATTTCTGCTAAATTCATCCTTCTCTTGGGCCATTTTATTAAATGCTACTAACTAGCCAAGCTTATCACCGCCTTTGTCCATTCATTCGTGTTGCTCACCCAAAGATTTAATATTTCCCTAAGTTCTCCCTTCTTGTTTCTAACTCCCAAATTCCCCATTTTCCAAATTAGCTGTGAAGCATTTCCTGGTGTGTGCAGTGTCTTCTGAGAATTCCTGTCCTCAGTTTTGAACTCCTACAATATGTAGAGTCTACATGAGCCATACAAAAACCACTCATTGTGTCGTCATGGGTGCTACCATTCTCTGCAGGGGCTTGTAGGGGCGTACCATCCACATCCCTCCTCTGGTACTGAAACCCTCGCTCCCCTAGCACTGCTGGCTGACTGCTCCTAGCTGATTGCCTCTCTGGACTTCTTAGGCTGAAGAAGCTTACCTTTCCCAAGGTAAAGCCTCGCTGTAGAGACAGCTTGCCTCTAGGGACTGGTTCTATTACAGGCAGTAAGTCTTTTCACTCCCGCCCTCAGTATGGGGAAACCTTGTTGGCTATGCCAGCTCTGGACTTCCCCAGTAATTAATGGGCTGAGACCTTCAGCTCATGGCAGTTTACCCTCTCCCTCTGCCCGATCCTCATCCTGCTTTCCTTTGCAGATTGATGTTCTCCAGGGCTCTCCCTGATAAACTTTCTGCCTGCATCTCAGATTCTGCTTCCCAGGGAGTCCAAATACAGATTGTAAACCAGGTGAGAGCAGAGAATCATAATTATGTCCCTCCCAGACCCCTTCAAATTTATGTTAACTCCCAATGAAAGCTTGCTATTATTACTGTCTTGAGCAGAGAGTGTGTGGGCTGGATGTCCCCTGGGTCAGGAGTTTTGTCAAGAGCAATGCTTAAGGAGACGCCCCAGGACTCTGTGCCCACTCTGGTCTAGGACCCAGCCACGAACCTCCTGCCCTAAACAAATTCATACACTGCATCTCTGACTGAACTGTCCCTCAACTGAGTATATTTTTATGGGTTGTTGTTGATATTGCTTAGTCACTGAGTCATGTCTGACACTTTGCAACCCCTAGGACTGCAGCCAACTCTGTCCATGGGATTTCCCAGGCAAGAAAACTAGAGTGGGTTGCCATTCCTACTCTAGGCGATGTTTCTAACTCAGGGATCAAATCTGCTTCTCCTACATTGAAAAGTCGGTTCTTTACCATTAAGCCACCTGGAAAGCCCTTTAATGGGTTACACCATCCCTTTGTGTAGTTGCTAAGTCGTGTCCGACTCTTTGCAACCCCATGGACAGTAACCTGCCAGGCTCCCCTGTCCATGGGATTCTCCAGGCAGGAATACTGGAGTGGGTTGCCATTTCCTCCTCCAGGAATACATCCCTTTAGAACCACTAAAAGGAAAGGGTGGATGAGGATGATCAAAAGTTTTTAGCAGCAACTTTAGAGTGTTTCTACCAGGAACTTCCCTGGTGGCTCAGAGGTTAAAGCATCTGCCTGCAATGCGGGAGGCCTGGGTTCAATCCCTGGGTCAGGAAGGTCCCCTGGAGAAGGAAATGGCAACCCACTCCAGTACTCTTGCCTGGAAAATCCCATGGATGGAGGAGCCTGGTAGGCTACAGTCCATGGGGTTGCAGAGAGTCAGACATGACTAAGCGACTTCACTTTCACTTATGGAGTGTTTTACTTCATTCTCCCTAGCTCAATTTTTTCTCTCCCACTACAGTATTAAACCAGCTTGTTTTATTCATATTTTTATCATAGTTACATGTCTTTCACTTTACAAGGACTCTGTGGCATTAAATAGATTATAATATTTTAGCATTCTTTTATACACACATGTACACAGTATAAGTTTCCAATACAGAGGACACTTCCTAGACTCCATATTTCAATCTGTATTTATTTCCCAAGGTGGCAGCTGAAGCATGAATGCCATGGGGGTGTGGAGATGCTTGAGGGCCTTTTAGGAAGGAACCTCACTCAACATAATTAGAGAGATAAGTTTGTTTCCTCTCTGGGAGCAGCATCTTATTTCCCTTCCCTTGTGCATCTGCTGAAAATTGGAACTGTGGATTCCCAAAACAAATATTAATCATCTGCTTATTTTCCCAAAGAAGAGCTTATTCCTAAAAACAAGAAGCAATTGTCCTGGAACTGGCGAGATCAGAGAATACAATTTTTATCGTTGTATTTGACTAATTATGGTAGTTTTAATTTTTTAAAAGGCCATCTACCAATTCCACTTGTGTATGTGGGCAGGCAGGAAATCAATCTATCAGATGAAGGTGAAATGCATCCCAATAAATCTTTATTGTGAAGCAGCAGCTATCACAGAGCATATTTCATTTGCTTAAGAGAAGACAACATGATCATTAGTAACCAGATTCCCCATGTTCTGTGAAGAGATGGAGCTGGTCATCTGGTCATCCTACTTCAGGCTCTGGCTGACAGAAGGAGGTCACTTATGGGCACAGCAATAGGGTTCCACAGCTGTGCCAGGAGGGACCAAGCCAGGCTCTCCCATAGTCACAAAATGAGGATTTGACTGAAAAAAGCAATTCCTCCGTGGCATGAAATTAAGGTAAGAAACAAAAGCCAAAGCTCAGACAGCATTATAAACTTCATGTAAGTCAGCAAATGAGGGATTTTCCAGTTGGAGAAATCTTACATCATACTTAAGAAGGCAAAAAAGCAAAACAAATTCCTGGCAATTAAACTCACTTTTAATATAATAAAGAGATGTGCTGAGCTACCATTACATTTCTGGCTAATTACAAATCATGCTGTGGGTGTCACAAGACCATTGTAAAGCTTTGCGCTTACCTCAGCAGTGGAGCAAATACCTCCATACCTCCGAGCATCTCCGTGGTCTTAAACTCTTAAAGGATAGACAAAGCGAACTGTGTTTTCTTACATCAGGGATTTATCCCCTTTTTACTCCCAGCGTTACATCAGCCTCATTATTTGGGGGCTTGAGTTCTTTAGAGCCTAAAACAACCCCACTTTGGAGATCAGACAGGAAGTTTTTTGGTGAACAATGGAAGGAACAGAAGCAGATAGTGCAAAATTCACCCAGTAGAGTCCTTCACAAAGCCTTCCTTTCTTCTGAAAACTAACAGCCCTCACCTCATTTTATACTTGAAGGTCATTTGCTGAAGCATGGGACGTGGGTTTAATGATCCAGTTTCTTAAAATAAACATGGAGCGCATAACAAATAACATCCATGTACTTATTCAGAGGGAAAAAAAAAATCTATAAACAGACACACACAAGTAATGAAAATGTCACTGAAGGGATATAAACTGATTGTAAAGAAAAAATGCAAGTCCGAAATTTGCTATTACTTGACACACCTGGAATCAAAACCATCATTTCTGGGGCATGGTGGTCAAAGGCGGCTTTATTTCAAACTTTACACATAACACATAAAAAGGGCTGGTTATGAAAAGGCCACAAGTCTGAAACTAGGCATGACATCCAGTTATATAAAGTGCAAGTGTGTGGGTATCTACTCAGAGCAGCTGCATCAAAATTACCTCCCTCTGAGAATCAGCCATCTCTGTTTGCCCAAGGTCTTAACACGCTCTTCCCAGGTGGCGCTAGTGGTAAAGAATCTCCCGTCCAGTACAGAAGACACAGTACTTGTGAGTTTGATCCTTGGGTCATGAAGATCCCCTGGAGAAGAAAATAGCAACCCACTCCAGTATTCTTGCATGGAAGATTTCATGGACAGAGGAGCCTGGCAGGCCACAGTCCATGGGGTTGCAAAGAGGCGGTCTCAAATAGAACTTTCATGGCATCTTCCCAGAATTCAAATCCATAACTTTGGAAAACTCAGTCAGGATTGTCACCTGTCTGTCCACATGTGAGAAACTCCCCTCAAAGCATTGCTGATGACAGAATGGAACCAGCAAGAGCTAACATAGTGCCAGGCGAACTGCAACCCATTCAAGTTTAGAATCGTAAAAGCTTATCTAAAGCTTTTTCAAAGTGAGGGAGCTCTTAGAATGGAGCTGGAAAGCCTGCACCATGAGATTTTCTTGGTGACAAATTTTAGTTATGCTTGCTTCTTCTTCGTGCAGAACTGATTGATGGGACCATCTCTTCTTAGAGTTTGCCATTTTCCTCTGCAGATTCATAGCACTTGAAGACATGCTTTCAAAACATTTATGGCAGTATCTGCTCACAAACATCAGTGTAGTCATTTGACAAACATCTGCCCCTGTATGAAAATGTAAGTTCCATGAGTGACAAAATCATAATCAAAACCCAGCAAAGTCCCAGGTGAAGAGTGAAGTTGCAAGTATATTTCTATAAATCAGTGAAAGTAGAAAATAAACGATTCATGTAGGCATGTTCATTCTTGTGTACATTCATATACACACCATGTATTTCCCTTGTAAAAGGAAATATAAGAGGACATTTTCTGCATGTATCCATACCACTTTAAGTGAATCCAGACCCATGTATCCCTTACCTTCACATAGAAGAAACATATCTTTGCACAATAAACCTGTTTTTAAGTGCATGCTCCATGATGGCCAGAGGAGAGGGCTCTTGTAGAGAAGAAAAGAAAGCACCATTATCAGGTCTGGGCAGGCTTCTCTACTGGGGAATGAACTTTCTCTTCCCTTGTTTTTTTTTTTTTTTTCTTTTCTGCCAGGCACACAGAAAAGATGCAAAGATGATTAGAATACAAAATGAGAATTTATGATAAAAGAGAAGATGATGTCCTAATAAGACTCAAAGATTTAAAAATCACAATTTTTTTTTCTTTTTTCTGCACAGGGAACAAAACACTCAAAAGAAGCGGGGGGGCGGGGGGCATGTTCTCTCATAACAGCTTAACTTGACTATGTGCAGAATGCATGTGTATGCATGCATGCAAATTATGAGTCCTAATTCTCTGATACAGATAAAAACAAAGGGTCCACTTGGTACAGGTTTACAGCCATCAGCCCTCTGATCTCTCAATTAAAAAACAGGCTCATTGTTTTCCACAAGGACTGCCTCCTGCTTTCAGACTTCTTCTGGGTCGCTTGCAGTTTGATTTATCTGTTAGATGTTTCCCCTTTCGCCATGACAGTCTATCTGGGGAGAAACTTTAAAGCTGACCTTTCTTTCAAACCACCTATTAGAGTAGATTTATTTGTTAGGGAGAGTGTGCATCTTCACATTTCCAGTTTGTTCCACATC